AAAATAATAATAATAATAATAATAATAATAGTAACAATAAATAGAATGAAATAAATAAATAATTATTTTAAAAAATTACTTCCTTCCCCAAAGCTCTAGACTTTTTTGGAGAACAGGGAGAGATTTTTGCTATAGGGTGCATGTGTTCACTGGAGAGACAGAGACAGAAAGTGAGAAATCACTCCTTGCGGGTTTGGCCACACAGCAGTTTCTACTCCTATTTTCTCCTCTCAAGATCTTGGGCACGCATGCACATGTGCCTGACATGAGTTTTAAGCCACCAGATCCAGGACTCCAACCATGGTCAACCACATCGGAGTCCAGTGATGTAACCATTATGCCATCTGCTGGTCCCTCTAGACATTTTTTGAGGCTGTATAGATTCTTTTAGTTTAAAGGCAATGACCTTAACCATCTGTATAGTAAATTTTATCGTTAAACTCTATTAATTTCAAGGAATCTATGTCTATAGGGTTATTTGCATTATAATGCTGAGCTTTTACATACTTTTACATACTTACTATGTATGAGGCCTGCATCCATACAGATTTTACCTGTATCGATTTCTTTAATCCTTACAGTAGTCCTGTGGGGAGGCTCTATTATTGTCCTCAGTTTACAGATGAAGATATTGAGACACAGAAAGCTAAGTAATTTGCTAAATTCACATGGTGACCTGGGATTCAAACCCAGGGAACTACAGCCTACTCTCTTAACACTATTATACAATCTCGAAGTTCGCATGAAGGGAAAATCTTCCAGTGATGTGCAAAACTGTGCCTTTTCAATGAGAGATTCTGAGAGAAAAAGGCATAGACCACTCCAAACTTCATTCAAAGATACAGCATTGGAGTAAGCAGGAAGTTGACTCTAGAGAAAGAGTTTAAGAGCAATTTTATTTAATGGGTTTAAACGAGTTTTTTTGTCTATGTTCAAAAACCATGAAGAAACAGAAAAAAAGCATGTATAGAGAAATCAAATCCTGTTTGGAAATGTTACAGAGGAAATTAGAAAGGATGCAGCTGATCCTTCTTTCTCTTCTGCTATTATGAGAAAAAAGATGCAGCAAAATCTTTTACTCATGCAGAAAGGAACTAATTAGTGAGAGCTGAGCTCTGACAAAAATGGAGAAAAAGCCCGTAACATCAGTATGTTAGAGAAGAGCAGTGTGTCAAGCTTAAAGATTCATATTGACTCAAGGTTATAATCACAAATCTTATAATAAGTAAAAAATAAAAGAAATCTTATAATCAGTGTTATTAGGCTACTTTGGATTACCAGTTTTATTGGACTCGAATTTAGTTGTAAAGAAATGGATTTTGCCAAAGGAAAGAACAAATATAATCTGTGAGCTTGGGGTAACCTTAGAAAAATAAAGTTTAAATAAATTCTTCTGAGTTTCTAGAAAAAAGTAAAGTTTATTTTCAGGCATCTTAGTGAATCCATTATTTGAAAAATTTACATTCAAATTTATATGCATATGATCAAATATATATTCATAGAATATTAGTGTGAGTTTATATCAAAATGGAGAATCAAAGGCAGACATGTAGTAATTTTCAGTACAGTACATCTTTCTTCTTTCTTTTTAAATTGCCAGAGGGCATGTGCACTCCCCAAAGAGAGACAGAAAAAGACAGAAAGAGAGGAAACACCCCCAAATACCCCCAAATGGGGCAGGGTCACACTGCAATGCCTCCTGTTCCATTTCTCCATCCCTTGGGTTTTGGAGACCACAGACACACAGACCACACATGCCCCGTAATTTTAAAGCCAACAAGGCTAGTATTCAAAATCTCAGCCATGTGGGATCTGGCTCCCTTAACCATTAGGTAGTATAGCTGGCCCAGCATAGGCTGTTTTCCTCACCAACGAACTGTTCGCAATTATCAGAATACCTTTACCTTGAATCCAGAGGTTCTTAAGGCAGTTGTGATACTCTGAGAAAAGTCATTTAATTATTGAGCTCGTACTATTAATGAGCTCCTTTTTTTTTTTTTTAAGAGATTATAGCTATAGGATGCATGCACTTGCCAGAGAGCCAGCAATAGACAGCGAGACAGAAAGTGAGAAATCACCCTCAGGGGGGATGGCCACACCACAATCCCTTCTCCTTCATTCTCCTCTTAGGATCTTGGGCACGCACACACATGAACCCAGTGTGAGTTTTAAGCTGCCAGGTCTTGGACTCGAGCTACCGTCAACTATGTGGGAATCCAGAGACATAACCATTATGCCATCTGCTGGTCCCAGTGAGCTTCTAATTTTTTCAGACACTATCAGAGGCATTGTGCTAAATCTAAATTTATAATGTTCTCTACAGTTTACTCCCTTCCTCCTCTCAATACAAAGGAAGTGTAATAAATAGGGACTTAGCATTGCATGCAACTCTTCTACTGATACAAAAAAAAAAATGCATAAAAGGTGGTTTTAGGAAAATAGCTGACGTCTAAGAAAGTGTGATTTAGGGACCAGCAGTTAGCATAATGGCTATGTTGCTGGACTCCCATGTAGTTGACCGTGGTTCACGTCCCGGACCCGGTGGCTTAAAACTCACGTCGGGCGCGTGTGCGTGTGTGCCCAAGATCACGAGAGGAGAATGGAGGAGAAGGGATTGTGGTGTGGCCATCCCCCCTGGGGGGGTGATTTCTCGCTTTCTGTCTCTCTGTCTCTCTCTGTCTGTCGGGCGAGCACAAGCGCCTTATAGCAAAAAACCTCTCGGGGGCGGGGGGAAGAAAGTGTGATTTAGTAGCGAGATATCTCTATTGGAAGGCAAGGAAATATAAGGTCTGGCCTATTCTTTTTTCTTTACTTCTTGTGCCTTCAAGCTCCCTAGGTATCAAATGCATACAGGAGGCTTGGGCCATGTGTCAGAGTGTGTTGTTTCCACTTAAGAAACTCCATTATAGGAGTCTATTTAAATGAAAGATGAGGTCAGCATCACCAGGGGTTCATTTTACTGTGACTCTGCACTTGCAATACAAAGAGAGTCAGGAAGTGAGTTGTGAGAGCCAAGAAAGCACATTTCATTCCTCAAAATGACAGTGGTCAGGGGGTCATGGGCTGCTTGGAGTAAGGATTTCCAGTGCTACTGCCAAACCTATTTACTGAGCAGTACTTGGTGACTGACAAGCAGTTGAAACTTCAGCTTAGTATAAATGTCTGGAGTCAAAGAGACTTGCGCTAGACTCTGGACTCTGCTGTCTACTTAGCTTTGTACTTTTGGTCAGAGGGTCAGGTGGAGAATTTTCTGCAGGAGGTTGTGATGAGATGTTTAGGGTAGGAAGGGACACGTTAGGGGAAGAAGAAAGTGTCTCTCTAATTATTCCTGGATGGCAAGAGCA